CTTTGAGTGACATCTGGCGAGCCGTCTCTGGTGGCATTCTCCAGGCAACTTTTGCCAGAGCTTGATTTACTTAACATACTTTTTTACAGCTGTTACTATTGAGGTGTGGTAATGATGACTTAAACTATTATTATTATTATATTATTATTGTTATTCCCGTTGTTTTTATTATTATTATTAATTTATTATTATTACAATTATTACAAGTAGCTAAGAAAGTTGCCAGCTTTTATTTGGCAGTGGTTGTAAAAGTAGTAGGGCTTAATGTTACGAAGATAATTATTGTTAAAATTATTTAATTATTGTTATAATTATAATAATTATAATTATAATAATTATAATTATAATAATTATTATTATTATTATTGAAAGCAGTAGTAGTAATAGTGGTAGTTTTCGATATGAAGAGTGGACCAGCAATACAGAGAGAACAAGATAGGCTCAATAGGTCATGTCGTTGAATGTTACAGATCTTTTTAAAAACTCACTCTGAACTTAATTTAAAAATACAATAAATTCATTTTATTCTATTAAAATACAATAATACCATTTAAAAATAATGAAACATTTATCATTTAAAATATTTGCTATTTGAAATAATATCTTAAATTACTTAAAAAATACTAAATTTATACTATAATACAAATTGACAATGTGTGATAGAATAGCACAATTGAACCATCTGAATGTAAAATCTTTTTGAATAAACCATTTAATTTATATTTTATAATAACATACATACATACATACATACATACATACATACATACATACATACATACATATATACATACATACATACATACATACATACATACATACATACATACATACATACATGCATACATACACTAATATACAGACATACATACATAACCTATCATCATTTATGCTATCATCATTCAACACCATCAACAACATTATCATCCTCCAAAACATTATCATTGCCCAAACATATAAACCTACACATACATATACCATATCTATACATACAATAAATATACAATTATGCAGGCTATATTTGTATATACTTGATATTTTTGAATTATACCTAACTTTCCACATTGCATCATAAATATATTGTGTCTAGAAAAGCAGCTATTTGTTGTATTGTATACAAACATAAATACACACATACATACATACATTCATACATACATATATACATACATACACCCACACACACATTTCTACTCTACTGTACACACACACACAAATTGTACTAACACACCTATAGTATACAATACATACACACAAGTATACATGTATATACAAGTCATGTACACACACATACAAACATAAAGACACATATATACAAACATACAAACACACAAACATACCTTTGATATAGCATGGGATGAATGAACGCCAGACAATGTTAATTAGTGTGCAAAAAAAGCCCGTGCTCACGATCAAAATCCGCCATTTATAGCTTGAAAAATAATATTCCGGCCATATTTATTAACAAATAATTGATATTAAAACGATTATTTGATCAAATTATTCCCAAAAAATAATAATTTTAAAAGAAATTTATGATGCAAAGAACACTGTTGTTGCTCGAAGACGTGCGTTAGCTATACCACGTGTAGGTGTGATTGTTATTTAAATATGAAACGACGGATCATGAATATTAATTAGGTCGGTTACAGCCAATTAGATTTGAGTGTTTAGTAGGCGGGGCTTGAAGCTAAAATACAATTGGTCACGCCCAAATCTTACATTATTTTCATTGATGAATAACGAGTTTGATAGTTTTGAATTGAATTTTAAGAGAAAATGTAATTGTAAATAAAAATAATTTTATTTATATAAATTAAATTAGAAACATTTTTTTTTCTTAAAATTATTGAGAATTTAGATGTCATATCTAGTTGATGAATGTGCTAAATTGGGTTGTATCTAGAGCTATTTTTAGAACCAGGTGGGTGTTGTTACGGTTATTATTATTATTATTGTTGTTGTTGTTTTTGTTGTTGTAGTTGTTGTTAAAATACATGGCAATATGATTTATGATATCTAAACTCGAAACGATGATTTTTTTACCACTGTCATTAATGATAACAACAACAATAATAATAATAATAATAGGAATAATAATAATTTATTTTCTGGTCTTTGAACGTAAGACAAGAGGTCTCATTGAAACAATTCGAGAAAAGATGAATAAAAATAACAACAATCACAAAACAATGTTATTATTATTATTGTTGCTATAATTGTTGTTGTTGTTGTTGCTATGATAATTAGGATATTTATATGACGCCCTTTAGCACTTTTAAAAGGCGTATGTTTAAAAGGATATTACCATCTCTAACAAGAATGTATGTATGTATGTATGTGTGTATGCTTGTATGTATGTATGTTTGTATGTATGTATGTATGTATGTATGTATGTATGTATGTATGTATGTATGTATGTATGTATGTATGTATGTATGCATGTTTGTATGTATATATGTATGTATGTTTGTATGTATGTTTGTATGTATGTATGTATTATTATTATTTAAGGATGCGTGCACGTCATACTGAATTGGAGAGCACGATGAATGATTATTCATCAATATTTAAGAAAAAAAGATAAAAAAAAATAATGAAAGAGAGAAAGAGATATATATATATACAGACAGACAGACAAGCGGAAAGACAGGGAGAGAGAAGAAAGAGAGAAAATGAGAGAGAGTGAGAGAGAGAAGAAAGATACGGGGTGTCGTGTCAAAGGACGGAAATCTTATTAAATAGCATATTAAAAATTTAGGAAACTATGAGAAAGAAAGAGAGAAGAAGAAATAGAGATGAAAAAGAGTGAAAGAGAGAGAGAGAGAGAGAGAGAGAGAGAGAGAGAAAGGAATAAAATAAAACAAAGAAAAAATATTAATCGAAGTTATTTTTTGAAATGCAAAAATAGAAATAAATATAAACAGAATTATGGCCACAAAATTTTTTTAAAACGTAATCTAAACAACTACTACTGCAGCTAATACTACCGCTACCACTACTACTACTGGTAGTATTACTACTACTACTGCTGCTGCAGCTGCTGCTGCTACGACAACTTCTACTTTCTCAGCCACGGATAGTGTGGCAATTT